GCATAGTTTAAACATCCTAAAAATTTTTGTATTTGTTCTTTGGATTTTAATTCATCTGAAAAGCTTTCTATCTTTTTAGATATGTGACTCTGTAGTTTTATTCATTTTCTATCTATTGATAATCCTAAAAAATCTATTTCTTGTTTCTCTATTATAGATTTCTTTTTAGAGAGTGCTATTCTTTCCTTTTTGCATTCATTTATGAATTGTAATAAATGATTTCTATGTTCTTTTTTATTATTAGAACATATTAGTATATCATCAATATAAACAATAAGAAAATTACTATACTTTTTGAATATATTATCCATTTTTCTCTGATATATTTGTGGTGCATTTTTTAAACCAAATGGCATAACTAACCATTCATATTTTTCTTGAGATGTACTAAAAGCTGTATATTGTATACTATCTTCTTCCATTTTTATTTGCCAGAATCCCGATTTACAATCAAATTTGGAATAATATTGTTTTCCTTTTGCGAGGTTTATTAGGACTTCCTTATTTGGTAAAAAGTAACCATCAAATTTAGTATATTTATTTAATTCTTTATAGTTTATTACCATTCTAGCTTTTCCTCTAACCTGCTCATAATATTTCATAACCATAAAAGTTGGACTACTATGAGGTCCATTACTGGGTCTAATTAGCTTTTGTTCTAATAGTTTTTTATCTGAATTTTAAATTCTTGCATATCCTGTAAGGTATACATCATTGGTCTAACTCTTATTATAACATTTTCTGTTAATTCTATTTTAGCTTTAGGATGATATGGTTTCCAAAATAATAATGGGTTTTCTCCATAAATTCTTTCTAATTGTTCTATGGTTTTTTCCATATTTATCTCTATTTCTGTTTTTAGGATCTTTTTATATGATAGTTTTTTATTTTTTAGCTCATCTTGTACTATTGGTCGTTTTTCCCATTCATCACCACGATGGGCTGGCTGAACTCTGCAGGGTCTAAATTCTCTTGGTATTTTTAATAGATGTGCACAAAGTGTTTGTAACATTATCATGTAATTATTTTGTTTGTAATATTGAAATTGTTGGATAAAATCATTTCCTAATAATATATCACATTCTAACTTATTATAATTATATACTTTATTTATTATAACTTGTTTACTACCAAGTATTATATTAACCTTTTCAGCACTATCAATTATTTGAGTACTTTCTCCAGTCACTCCTGTTATCTTTATTTTACTATTTTTATTCCATGATTTTATTAAGAAATTTTTAAAAATTGTTATATCACTTCCTGTATCAATTAAGGCACAAGTTGTTATGTTTGTTTCTACTATAGTAACTTGTATATACACTGCCAATGGAAAACTAATTTGATTATTCATCAACTTCCTATTCTACATAATGTAGTTTGTCCTTTATGAGTTATAAATAATCATTCTCTTTTTATACTATAATCTTCTAATCCATTTAAGAA